AAGGGCTCCAGAAATTTCGTCCACCTGGGGTTCTTTACAATGCACCCAAATCTGAGCACTCGGGCCTACAGCATTTTCGCCGCCATCGGGAACGCAGCGGCCGCCGCGGGAATTCGATACCACGACCTGCGGGTCAGCAGCCGGGTACCTTAGCCACTAGACCACTGTGGCGGGGCCATTCCCGAAGGTCGAACGTGTACATAATGAATAATTCCCAGCTGCCTGCGTGGTCGCGTTTCCTTTTGTAAAGACCAAGCACCCCACTATCGAGCTCGAAATAAGAATAAGCAATCGTATCGGGCCAGTTGGTATGAATCCATATTGATAGGAAGCGCAGCAATATAAGCGCTCGTGTTTTTACGCCATCGGCCATACCATGCTGAATGCGCCGGTTCTCGTCCGAAGCGCTCGTGTTGTGTGTTCCACGTAATAGTTGCTGCGCTTCCTACCAAGATCTTATAAGAGTCTCGGCACGGAAGTTCACATTGGGCCACTCGATTATTGTTTGTTATCGTGAGGAAGCCAACATACGACAGGCCGGGTTCCTCTGACATAGCCCTCCGTCGTCTGTCTCACCGTAATGAATTCGTAACAGCCACGTCACGCAAGAGGAGCAGTCGTAGGCAAGATGCGGTAACATAACGCATAGTGCCTACGGCTACTGTTATACGCACACTGCCTTCGACAATTCAAAGAACATCGCGAAATGGGTAAACATAAGAGCTGGCTTCTTTTTCTGCTCTAAGCAAACTTGCGAGGATCGAAAAATTGAAGAATCTCGGCTGATACGGTGTACACCGGTTGTAAAACACGCACGCGCGCAGGCAAAGTCAGGCTTGTGGGGTTGGGTGCGAAAAGTTATTGATTAGCTTTTTACCGTGATCTGCTAAATATAAGCATGAGTGAAGTGGACGGTGTCTCAATGAGATTCAGCGCTAAAAGTTGCGATAACAGGAAAAACACGATTTCGTGACGTATAGTTATCTTGATTTGAACTGTTAAAACATGTAGTGGAGCAGCAGCGGCGAAAACTACCTTCACACGGTGCTTCGGGGCGTCTTGATTAGGAGGAACGGCTGCGATGGATGGAGCTACTATGGTTTTCAAAGTATTCTTCGCAAAGCTCTGGTTAACCTCCCTGCCTTTCCTTGTATCTTTATCTCTCTCTCTCTCTCTCTCTCTCTTCGCAAAGCTAATCAATCTTTTTTTGATGAACTAGTCACTTGAACCGCTACAGTTTTTGCCACGTGTGCGTTTTACAGCGGCGGGATGTTTTACCCAACGGTTTTCGTAAACAAACAAAGAAGCAGTAATATGGGGGGGGGGAGGGGGGTTACGCCCAAGACCACGATATTGTTATAAGGAATGTCGTAGTAAAGGGCTCCGAAAACTTCGACCATCTGGAGTTTTCTTTAACGTGCGTTGATGCCGCACAGTACACGGACCTCTACCATTTTCCCTCCATCAAAATGCGACCGCCTTTGCCGGGATAAAACCCATGACCCGGTTCCGGTCAGCAGACGAGTGGCCACTGATCCTCCGCGGCAACCCATGCTCACGATTGCAGCAGAAAAAAAATACAGTGCGGGGCCTTACGCCCGAAGATAGCACAACCGTATTTCGTATAGAGAGTGCTTCGCTGTAACAAAAAAATATGTAAAAAGAAAAAGAGAGAAAGTTCAGTTTGCGAGACACTCGCCTAAGTTGGTGCTTCTCTTGGCATGAATGCATGCCAGCAAGGATGTCCTGGTTTACTCGCAAATGCATTGAGTACAACGCTTCTGTCGAATTCAGTAAGCTAAGACTCTGAATAGGCGGCCCATGCTTTAAGGGCCACTTTTTTTTTTAAAGTGTATTCTTTGTTGATTTGCTTGAGGGTCCTCTCGAGGAGCCGCGACTGAAAGCATTCTTATGTCGACGCTGGTTTGGCAGACGCTAGAAGAACCCTACCAATAGACAAGAAAGTAGATAACAAAGGAACGAAGTCTTTTGAGCTGACTGAACGTGCATCTGGCATTTCGGCTGGGGTAGAAATGACGGGTCAATCTGCTGTTTTGTGAAGTGGACAAGCGCTGACGGAATGCTTGTTCCGACAAAGCATACCGAACACGATGGTGCAATTTCAATGCTTCAGTTTTCCCTTTTTTTTTGTCTAGTATTTACAGCACTCTCAGGATAACGCATTCTCATCGTCAGCCGTGCACAATTGTAAGGTGAGCTTACTGTATACTTCAATAATAGCTTTAGGATTCGGGCGTGCGATCTTCAGTCGCTTGTCAAACGAGGGAAAAAGATAGTCAAGTGATTCAAGAATTGCCAACCGGGATTGAACAAAATTTTCTGCAGAGCAAACCATACGGACCTACTGTGGTAGCTTATAGACTGAGGCGTCGCACTGCTGAGCACCCCGCCGCGGTGGTCTAGTGGCTAAGGTACTGGGCTGCTGACCCGCAGAGCGCGGGTTCGAATCCCGGCTGCGGCGGCTGCATTTTCGATGGAGGCGGAAATGTTGTAGGCCCGTGTGCTCAGATTTGAGTGTACGTTAAAGAACCCCAGGTGGTCTAAATTTCCGGAGCCCTCCACTACGGCGTCTCTCATAATCATATAGCGGTTTTGGCACGTTAAACCCCACATATCAATCAATCGCACTGCTGAGCACCAGGACGCGGGTTCAATGCTTGCTTATGGTGGCTGCATATTGATGGGAGCGAAAGTCAATGCGCATTTATTTTTAAATTTCAAAGGGCCATGAACCACCCCTCGAAACGCTTTTAGGCGCACTCTTTAATACAGAAAGGGGGTAGGGGCGGTGGTCTAAAAGCTGAGCTACTCTGCTGCTAACCCGCAGGTCGCTGGATCGAATCCCGGCAGCGGCGGCTGCATTTCCAATGGAGGCGGAAATGCTGTAGGTCCTCGTTCTCAGATTTGGGTGCACGTTAAAGAACCCCGGGTGGTCGAAATTTCCGGAGCCCTCCACTATACGGTGTTTCTCATAATTATATGGTGGTTTTGGTATGTTAAACCCCACATATCAATCAATCAATCGATCGATCGATCTATCAACCATACAGAGGCCTGTGTTAACACCCTTTCTAGCTTCCAACGACTCTTGTTTGCCGTCACTCAACTATAGAGATGAATAAAAAGAGGCACTTTAATCACGTCACGTATGCCACCACATGCCTACGCCATGCTCTATAGTCAGTTAACATTACACACTAGCAACGCTTGCGCGCATGCATGGGTATCACAACTTGTCAAAACAATCGCGTTTCATCACACGCGCTCAGCGTCATGACACGTTCTGACGTAAATTATTATTGCATTGCCATTATTTCCAGAGTAGCATAGCGTAATCAACGGAACTGGAGCAAATGCTTAAAGCGTATGACAAGTCTCGTTACTCTGCTAGTTCTTGACACGTTCAAAGAATTTTTCGGCAATCGGTTCGCGACGCAATAAATGTCGACATTGAGGTCATTCAACGATTACTTGGTGGTTCCCAACCCCTCTGAGTGCACGTTAATGAACCCCCAGTAAGCTGTCATAATCCGTTGTCTCCCGCTAGGATGACAAACCATTAAGATTCTAACAATGAAGGGCCTATTGTACTGAACACGAGTCGTTCACACTACAATAAAGTCAGTCTTTTGTTTCTGTATCTTCTTCGCAGTGCCACTAGCCGACGAAGCTTCCAGTTACTCCAAGTCACTGTCGACTCCGTGTTCCACGTCCCCGTACCGAGAGCCGGACTCCTCAGGAGCGCGCCCACATGACCTGTCTAGAACGACGACGTCGTCGTCGACTACCGCGTCCCCCGTCACCGAAATCCTCTTCGGAGTACCGTCGCCACTGCCGTTCTCGCCACTCTCCACGTCTTCGTGCCCGTCCTCTTCACCGTCGATCTCGACGACGTCTTCCACGGCGTCGTCTTCCGGCGGTGGAAGCTTGAAGTCGTTAGTTCCGGTCTCACTTCCGCCTCCTATTCCGAGACCTCCTGGTCGGGCGCTGAGGACCCCGAAGTGCGCCCGCTGTCGCAACCACGGCGTCGTCTCTTGCCTCAAGGGTCACAAGAGAAGCTGTCGTTGGAAGGACTGCCGCTGCCCAAACTGCCTCCTGGTGGTCGAACGCCAGAGGGTCATGGCTGCGCAGGTGGCTCTCCGAAGGCAAGTGTTTCTGCTCGAAGATTCTTAATCTATCGGCTATTTTACGTATTGGTTTCGGTGCCGTAATGTTGGGTTTTTAACGTTGACGTTTGCCTCCCCACCCAGATAGCTAGCCTCTCTGCCCTTTTTGTACTCTTTCTCTCCCCTATACATTGAAAAATCTCTCACATCTCCCCGTAAAGGCAACTCTGAGTCTATAGTTATGCGAAGCAGCCACACGCGTAGTTTCTGTAAATTGGTGCTCTTTATTCATAACTGGACGTGACGTACTAACCTATATATATATGACTTAGATCTTGAACATTACCATAGACGTTCATGGCTGCGCATACAGCCGTATTGCGAGCCCTCGCCTCCGCCACACTCATCCTCATGTCTTCAGTCATACTACTGCTGCGCTGTGTGCTAGAGAGAAAGACGAGTATGCACCTAATTTATATTATACAGGGCAGCCCAACAGCGCTAGTGGTCTCTGCTCATACTAAAGCACGCTCTAGAGTGGGGCGAGAGCTCTACGGCAAACTCATCTAGTGGGCGCTCCGAGTACTAGCGTGGCTATACGACAATAGACTACAGACAAGCCCCGATTGTATGCTGCTTCGCATATAAAAGCAAATGCGTTTTTTTCCTTTTGTCCTCGCTTGTGTGCACTGCGTCATTCCTAAACACCGCGTAAAAAAATTCGCAATTTACGGTTGCCACTTATCTCACACGTGCTCGCATCACAGCCATGTCATCAAACTTTTCTATGAATGGCTGACGCATCAAAAGTTTTGTCTTTATGCCTGCGCACGCGTGTAAATGTGACACGTTTATGCCATTCGAGCGATATTCTCGTGCAGTCTCGCATCTGCCCAAGTCTCGCGGGACGAGTGGGCGGGTAGGTTATCTTCTTTTTATTTCCAATTAGCTGAGCCCTACCTGGAATTCGCAACGACCTTCGCACTCCTCCCTTAGAGCCGTTGTCATCGGCCGACACTTTTTGGTTCTCGCAAGGACACTGTTTTGAATTCGGCGTCCTCGCAAATAATTGATTGTTTCAGTGTTCTCGCGTATCTCTCAGACATGTTCGTTTGCGAAAGAATGCCGACCAGCGCTGCACTGTGTGCTTTTCGCGTCCTTGCTGCTCGCGCTGTTGTGGACGACGATGCGCTCCGGAGCCGTGGTTCTGGGTCCCGAATACGTCCTCTTCGCCCGCCGCATGGAGGAACCCGACGTGACGGACGCCATCTGCGTCCTTCGTCCGTCCCAAGGAAGCAACGTCACCGGCGTGCTCAACTTTCAGCAGAAGGTGAGTGCCATCGTACGAGCAACGATATAGTTTTCCCGATGCGAGCTGGTTGCATACTGCGTTTACGTCAACCGTCTTCAGGCTCTGTTCCACCCCGCCCCTCTTTTTTTTCATTGAATTGATTGTTCTAGAGAGTGTCTAGTAATGTCTTGCTATAAATTGGGGATGCTGCGATTCATTTACGGTAACAGAAGGCTAGCAAGGACTCAGACGGGGCGCTAACGTGCACTAACATTGCTTATGGTGCGCGGGCATTCAACACATCGCCTCCGTCGAAATGCAAACGCTGCGGTCAGAACCAAACTCGGGACTTTCCGGTCAGCAGCAGGGCCTTGAACCCACTACGCCAGCAAAGCTAACTGTAGCAGACGATGTTACACCCTCTTAGACACCCAGAATCTCCGTCAGAATCTAGAGTATCAGACTGTCGCATGTTGTTAACTTGTTCTTGACCTCGTCTCTCGTGTGTTTGCTTTCCTCGTGAGACCACGGTCCAACTCACAAGCATATCAGTGCATATACACTGTACAGTGTATATGTGTAAGTTTTAGGAGTCCTTGTGGTGAACAGCGGGTGTCATTTACGTTTGCACTAGTGAAGGTAGTACAGTCTCGCTCATTATGACGTGCAACACTGGGATCGCGTGGACTCACGAGTTTAAATGTTGCGCATGGCATCAACTTGTTTTTATTTCAACACCTGCTTTTTAGGTATCATACCTGATTGATAAGAACGCGTTTAGTAACAGAAATAGACTAGGGCAAGCCATGTGCACTCTTTGAGCTTGTGAAGCCGCGCTCCCCCATGTAGCAAGTCACGTTGAGCGTGACTGTACACCCGTGACGCCACCGCCCCTTCGAAAAATCCTGGGTGCACGCCTATATTAGAGAATGCAAGTACAAGTATCATCTACTCATCGGTTAAGGGGCGAAAATTATTTTAATAGTAATGAATGGAATGGTGCGACAGGACACGTCACAGGGGCAGTAAGACAGTAAGTTGGGCCAGTTGGTTGGGATCCACCGTAAACTTGTCAACAGCGCAATAGTTAAAACACAGGACAAGGAAGGAGCAAAACAGAAAAAAAGCGCCATCTTTTCTTTTTTCTCTTTTGCTCCTTCCCTGTCCTGTGTTTCAAGTGTTGCGCTGTTAACAAGTTCACAGGGGCATGCACGAGTAACATTAGAGAAGTGTATACTTAATGTGAAGAAAACAAAATAATAGCGGGAATTATAATGAAAACGGTCATCCTAGCATTCCCAATCACTGCATGCACAATGTCTTGCAGTGCTGAAGCTCGCAGTTGTAACAGAGTTGTAACAGCACCTCCGTAACATCAAGGTCTTCACGGAGCTCACAAAGTTCTGAATATGACTGCAAGAGCACTATGACGAAGCTTGGTTCTTCTTTCAAGAAAGTTATTTTGGCCACCAATTTGATAATTCACCTAAGCTCTCATAGAGCTACTCTCGTCATGCGTCTTTCTAACTAGCAATAAAAAAAACAGAGGTCAAGGCAAAGCGTTCCGAACGTGTAGAGTTGTGCTTTTCGACACAGCCTCAAAGTATCACTTCGAGGCGTTTTCTTAAGCGTAAAAATAAACTACGCCGGAAGTCAAATAATATAAGTATAGAGGGCGAACGATGACAATCCACTTTGTGATCGCAGATTTTACAACGCCGCACTTGCGGCTGTTACCACAATCAGTAGCGAAACGTACTAAACATATCTTGCGGAACGAGGTCAACGACATCATAAAGTTCAGAGGCTTTTTTCACAGTAGTTTGAGGCGAACCTACGTTCCGAAAAAAAAGGCGTTTTTTTTTTTTCCAGATCCTCCCCCCCCCCTTTTTTTTCTTTTAAGCCTTTTCCTACGCTCGAAGTCCGGCCACATCGCCAGTGCCTTCCTTGTTCTTTTTTTTTTCACTCTTGCGGTCCGTAAAATTTTGCGTTACGCCTCGTTAGTTCGACTGATGCTTTCGACCCGCCTGCGTGCTCTCGTAACGCGATAGAACCGACCACGCTTTTCTGTAGTTGCGTGCAGTGACACGAAAGGGCGTGGCACGGCCGGAGACAGTCATGAAGATAAGCGGAAGTAGGCTTGACCGAGGAAGCACTTCGCACAACTCTTGAAACATTACGTAACAAAATCTATAAAGAAAACTTAATCCGTCGCGTCGCTATTATCGTGAACGACGGAACGCATGTCTTTATTGGCGTACAAGAGTTTGTAGGAGTAAACATCAATATGATTTTTAGCAAGGTCTTTCTCGCTAGAGTGCACGTTATGAAACGTTGTATATCACTCTATGAACAAATAATCAGTTCATTCGCACACTGAAATCTCGTTAAATGTTTCCAAAAAAATACGCCGGAGCATCGCGGGGAGTTTCACCAGTGTTCTTCACAGCGGTGTTTACCGGTTCGTGGTGTTACCTTTGCGGTGAACCTTGTGTTATTGCGTTCTTAACTTGGGTCGTTACGACGCATCACGTGAACGTTGTGTTGAGAAAACTCCCCTGATGCTTCACATCACCCCGCGATTTTTCCTTCGTGGAGATGCTGTAATTTTTTAGTATACGCGCACGCTGCAAGTTTTTATTCAAGAACGCAGAGGGGAAATCTCCCACCAGCACTACATTGGAGGTCAAGATCCAGTGCCCTTGTATGCGCTAGTGAACTGCCAAAGAACAGTTGTGCAGCGCGAGCACTCAATGTTTTTAAATCAAGCAATTCGCTAGCAGACGCTGCCTGTGTCGGCTTTGCGAGGCAGAAGGGGGGGGGGAGCGTAGGAGAGGAGAGGTGGGGGAGCGTAGGAGAGGAGGACACGCATGCGTAATGGAGGAGTGAGCGCGAGCGGGTGGTAAGAGAGAAGAGGAGAGAGTAACATGCAACTGTGGGAGTGTGGGAAGGAGAGTCATGCATGCACAATGGAGGAGTATGAGCAGGTGGTAAGATAGAAGTGAAGAGAGTAACGTGCAACTGTGGGAGAGAGGGAAGGAGAGTCGCGCATGCGTAGTATCAGTGCCGACGTCGGTTGACGCGTGACATACCCACGAGCAAAAGATACTCCGCATCGAAAAGTTGTTTCATGTCAGCATATTACAGTTAGCGGGATGGAATGTCGCTGGGATGCTCCAGGGTTGTCTGATAGTGGACAGCTCTAATGAGCTTCGCATGGCAAGAAATGCTTTAAAAATATTCGTATTTACGAATGACATCTGTTAGATTTGAAGACCCAATAAAATAGACTGCTATTCTGTACGTCGTTCAAAACTTTGGAATATTCTCGTGCTCGTAATAATTTATATTCTTGAATTTGTTGTTACTCTCTAGTCTATCCTTTGGCAACACACTCTGAAACTTTCTCAGCAGTTACTTGAAAGTGCTGCACGCATTGTGAGTGTATGGCCAGGAGGTGACGTAGGCCTTGCAACTTGTGCCAGATTTTCTTGCGTGCATTTCGCATCCGACGCAACACTGCACAAAACAGTGTTGATGAACCGGTAATGCGCAATGCCTATGAAACATCTTTCAGTTTTTTTGTCAGTAGCAACGTTTAGTGGTTAGTGGCCGAAACCATATGCCAACCTAGTGCGCCGCACTAACGAGAAATATTGCCCCTAACCTAAGTGACTATGACGCGACGTGTAATTGCGGTCACTGTTAGCTGGTCACTAAACGAGCTGACGAATGGGTTTTTCACGGGTCCTGTGCCAAGAGAGATAAATTGGCTCGATGATTTCAAGCCATCTTGCTCTTGCTGCGCAATTTTTACATAACCTTTCGACTCAAACTTGGTTCCAGTGCTTTTATCTCCCTGAGTTGTGCGCATGTTAGATCGCTCACGGAAAAGCAAAGCCAACGGAATTCGCTTATACTTTATCTCGGCTTAACGGCTCCGCTCCGAAATAACTAGACCACGTTTCATCGCTTACACAGTGCATCTTTGCATAAAAAAAAATCGCCGTGACGTAATTCACTTTTATAGTTAACCTTTTTGAAGGTAACGTCTTATATTTCACAAAAAAAAAACATAACTGAAAACTGGGTAACATGTTACTGAAATATATTGCAAGTAAATACTAGAATCAGCAAACGTCGAAGGCGCAAGTCACAACCTCTGCGGTATAGGACAATCACTATGACGCTGTATTTTGTGCTAATAGTGAAGGAATGAGTTGGAAAGTTTCAGGGTTCGTTTTACCTTGTTGGACACAATATTAACTGTAACCAACACACAACAGTACATTGGATAGGAGCTGTTGTTAGAGGTTAGTGCAATGTAAATGCAAAGAAAGAACAGTAGACCAAAAACAACTTGCTGTCGGCAGGGACAATACCTGCGACCTTTGAATAGCACGTTTGTTGCTCTACCAGCTGAGCCACGGCTGCCTTGCTCCCGTCCACTTTATGGCGTAGAGATGCCCATTTAAACGTGGGGTGTGTTTAGAAAAAGTGGGTAACGATTTAGAGGACTAGATACTCTACTAAGGGAGAGCATATAGTCGGCCCAAGTACGATCCCCCCCCTAGGGCTCCAGAAGTAGCATCAAGTGGGGTTGTCAGTCAGCGCCGCCGGTAGCCACGGCGGTGAGAACACTTCAGTTAGTAGAGAATCGGACGTGTTATTCGAAGGTCGCAGGTTCAGTCCGTGGCCAAGGCAAGTTCTCTTTTCGCCCACTTTTCTTTCTTCCCAATCGCATTACATATAACACTAATAACATCCCCTGTACTTTCCTCGGCAGTGTTGTCTGTTAGTTCACATCAACGTTGTGCTGTGATAGCGAGGCATTGGATTCGCGGCGACCACATTCGATGGCCTAGGGTAAGTAACTCAAATGTGTAACTTCGAAAATTGAAAGGACAGTCGTAGTCACCTGTATTATAACGACATCCAGTTATTGATGATGTTTCCCGTCCCTCCTCTTGTGTGATACCCTGAAAGGGGCCTTTGAGAATGTCTGCCTGTGTCAACAGCGCTTATGCGCTTGGCTACTGACCAAACGGTCGCGGGTTCTATTCCGGCCCCGGTGGTCGCATTTCAATGGAGGCGAAATGGGAGAGGTTCATGTGCTGTGCGATGTATATAAGCACGTGTTATAGAACATCATATGATAAAAATATCCGGAGGCCTTCACTATGGCGTCTCCGATTATCACATGGTGGTTTCGGGACGTTAAACAACACTTAATATTATGGACCTTTAAGAATAAATATATTATGATGACAGTTTAGTGACTGATCAGACACTACTGACGTCACTGCAGGATCCCGACGACTTCGTGACCATTACTGGTGACGTCACTGGGCTGTCTCCGGGTCTTCACGGTTTCCACATCCATCTGCGGGGTGACCTTACTCACGGTAAGAACTCGTCTTTCCTAGAATTTCACGAGACCACTCCCCCACCCCCTTCCATTCAACACTTAATCTTGTGTGCATTGACTGTGATCAAGCAATAGTCGCAGTGGACGTAAACGTAAGCATTCTCATATTACGAACTTCGGCGTAAACTGGTACAATAAATATCCGTGAATATTTATACTCGCAAAATTATCATTAAGGGACGAAATGCGAGCTACCTATGTGGTTTGATTGTTGGATATGGCCCCAATATTGTCGACGTCGTTCAATTGGGCTACATTCAGGGGCATCGGTTTTCGATCTATTCAACGGAATCGTAATTCGGTTAAAAACTGGTTCAGTTAGCTAGCTTCCACGTTTTGCAAAGGTGTATTTAACTTACCTGATGCAGCTTATGTGGATCAGGTACGAAAAACGTGGAAAGAAAGGAAGAAGAAAAGGCAGGAAGCTCAACCAGACACGTGTCCACTTTGCTATCCTACACTTGGTGAAGTTCGAAAAAACGTGAGCTTGCAAAAAACTAGCATTTTCCCTGCGAGACGCGTTCAAAGGAGATGCCAGCATGGCAAAGACTATATTTTAACTGAATGGTGACCCCGACGTGCAGAACTGAAAACAATGATGCAGGCGCCAGCTTTCGAGTGGATGTGCGACCGATGGGGAAGAATATAGGGATGGAGATTGGTAGGAAGGGGGGGGGGCAGAGGCCCCCACTAATCAAGCAAGGCCGGCCGGCTCTGCGACCAAACGTCTACAGCGCGAAAGAGAGAGAAAGAGAGAGAATAATCGGATGACATGGTCACGTTTTCCTCAGCGTGGTCCAGACATTTTCATCCGCCGACAGTTTGCAGAGGGCCAATGATTGATGAGAAAATTGCTGCAATGCCAGTGGGCGGGGAAAACGAGAGCCTTGAGCCAGACAAATGGTGCGCCCGGTGTTTCAGGGGCAGTGTTGTCGGCGTCGTCGACGTGACGTCGTTGCAATCCCCGCCGATAATTACAGGCAACCGCGGCCAACGCGCCCGAAATTTGTTTGGTCAACTTCAAGGAAGATTATAGGCGTAGATGATCAGGCAGACTATTTCTACGACGTTCTGCAGATAAGCAGATGAGGCCATCGCAGACTCGCTTAGCGACTATTCCTACAATGGCTCAGCCAGCCACAAAAACAAAGGGAAAATATTCTGTGACAAAATACTAGAAGCTTACTAGAAATGAGCTACTAGATGAGAGAAGGCCTATTGAAGCTACAAGATATGATTCAAAATGAGGCAAGATAACCGCTGCGCATTGAGAGAAGCAGACTCGTTTCTAAGGGAAGGCTAAGGCGCGAGGGGAGACAGTTAGGGGAGGTGTAGGCAGATGAGATACATTGTGATATACGTGCTCGCAGCAAGCACATGACCACGTTCATTGGCAACTAGAACGTGGGGGCCTTTGCTCTGAAGTAGGTGCAGTCTGGCTGATGATGGTGATGATAAACATTTCAGGTCCGAAATTGCATTGGCGTGCTGTTTTTTTCTAGTTTACTTCGTCAGAATCAGCGTAATTCGGCAAACCTGATAAATTAGTAATTTAAACCGAGATTGCTGAGAGTGACACTTGTATTACTTGCTTAAATATTTGAAATAAAATTTTGTACCAACTTATCGGCCAACTTATGACAGATACGTTTCACGCTACTCTGAAGTACGGAGTTTCACATCCGTCAAAAATAGTGCTAAGCGAAGCTCCGACGCTTCCAATTAGCATGTCTCAATCTCCAGTGCGTTACAGACGACTGACTATGCAACCGATGTGGCAACCAAGCGTCATTCGCAATAGGTAACGACGAAGAACAAGCTGCTCTTTCTGCAATATTCTCCCGACAGCTTTTATTTTTCACCTCGTGTTGCCAAGGGCTCATGGTGGCCTCGTTTCTTTATGGGTTCAAGAACACTCCTGGTTCAAGAACACTCCTGTATATCCATGTTGTAAAACCCAGGTCGTTGTCAAATTGGCGTTCCACTACAGAGAACTTTGTAGTCACACTTTTCGCTTTAACATGTAAAACCCTGGAACGTAGCGAGAAACAGGATCATAAGCATCTGTAGCCTATTTGTACGCACTATATGGCCATATATCCTAGAATCAATATTAAGAGCTCGTAAGAGTGCGCCGGTACAAGCTGCCTACTCCCATACCAATTGGGGAGACATGCACTTCCCCCCGTACAGACCGCATGACAGGTTCTTGCCCCGGACCCTATAGTCCGATCTCTAGGCTAAGCATACAACGTAAACGGAGAACGAAGCTCGCATTTTTCGTATCGCCATGTGTCATGCATTTATGAAGGATAGGCGAAGATCCCGATATGCTGACCTCAGATCGATCATTTCGCTCGACGTGAAGTGTTTTTTTTTTTCACCGGATGGTTATACGTAGCTCCCTCGATCTCGCAAAAGCGTGTTCGCGAAGATGGTCACGGTAAAACCTCATTGCCATGCGGGTTACCTTAGAAGCATGTACTCCGCCTACAAAGGTCTGGTGCCCCTCAGGGGGTCGCGGGTGATGCTCACATGTGCTTCGTTCCAAGGTGTTCCTCTGCGTACTTGAATTATTCGGACCATGAATGCCCCAGAAGTTTTCTCAGTGTTCGATCTGCTCTCCATTTCATTGTGAGGATAAAAAGAGAGAGGGAAAAGAAGGGGCGATTTTTTACAGAAAGGCAGCTCGGCCAGAGCAACAGTATGGTTCAGCCTGCTGCGATACATCGGCGAAGAGTAGCAGGGTAGAAATAGTAGTGAATGACGACGGCAAGTAAAGGGAGGTGAGGATACGCAGTCCCGTCAAGTTGGCGCAGTGCTATAACATCCAGTCAAGTGGCTTGCAGAGGGGTTATCACTGCTCTAACGTGTTTTTGTGAAAGACAATGGCAAATTGAGAGAAGCGTGTAAGAAAGACGAATGCGAGCTTCTACTTCCTAGAGATGCATATAATTTAATTTGATTATAATTTGATATAAGGACACCACTGAGGAAACATAAAAAATCCGTAAATGGTGTGTGTGTGTGTGTTTGAGCTGACGTTTCAACAAGCTGACTAGTCTTCGTCCAAGGTGCAACTGCTTCGATCCTTGTCGAAACAGGATCTCCCGCGAGAGCCCATGTCTGCCAATGTCTCATTGCTTCAATCTTCCAGCTTCCCCTGAACTTCTACCTTTGAGTAAAGGTGTGTCTTGTCCGATAATTGTGTTGGCCAGGAAAGCCTTGTACGAAAACGGATGTTTCCTATTGGTTAGTTTTTGTGATATTTTTCTTGATCTGATGAAAAAAGTCTGTAAACATGGTTTATGGCGGCCTATCTGGTCTTCTTCTTTTTTGCTTCCTTGTATCAGTTGCGCCACAAATATTTTATTAAGCTATGCACCAACTCACCCAACATCACACTCTACTAAAGAATGTATTCGCTCGAGTCGATGTTTCGAAAAGTTGACTTGCCTTCCTGAAGTCTAGAATACAACTGTTCTGTTCAACCCATGAGGGAGACAACTCCACTTGTCCAATCTGTTCTAGCCTTGAGGACACCTACCTTGTTTACGGATTTTTTTTCATCGCAAGCTACTTTTGGCCTGATGGTCCATTTGCCTCCATTTTACCCTTCTTGCCGGATGTTGGATTTCTTTCACCTGAAGGAGACGTAATGTTCTGCGCAATCTTACATCGCAGGCTGCTTGAGCACGGGCCCCCATTTCGACGTTGGCAGGGGAAGCTGGCATGGGGCTCGGGTGGACGTCGTACGCCACGTTGGAGACCTGGGCAATGTCGAGGCTGATTCCCGGGGCGAGGTTTTCTTCACCATCAAGGATCGGCTTGTGTCACTCAATGGACCGAACTCTATTGTAGGACGGTCAGCTATCGTGAGTGAGCTTTTAAGTATCTAAATAGGACTTATACGGATGCTCCACTAAAATGAAAATACTGGCGGCAATCCTCCATCTTCGCTTAGACGTCTGCCAGTGGTGCTAGATTCTCGGTGTTTATTCTAGCAGAATTAAAATGAAGGCACGTAATGTGCACTACTTCTTTAGTCCGATTGTTGCACATGGCGCCAATATACTGTTGCCATCGTGCAATCAGGCTACATTCAGCGGCGTTGCTTTCAAATATATTTAACAGAATCCCAATTGCGTTGGAAACAAGTTTAATTAGCTAAATGTTTTCCTATAAGCTCACTACACGTCTCCTGAAATGTTCTCCGGCTTAACCTAGGCTTAACTTCGGCTTAATTTCGTCGAGATATACATTTTCGCTATTTGGTTCTTATTCGCAGTGAAATAGTGCCAGCGAAAAGAGACCAAACAAGGAAAAAAAAAAGACTTACATAGGGCGCTACACAAGGCGCATTGTGTACGCGTTTTCCTCTTTGTTTGGTCGAAAAGTGTAAATTAAAGGCTCGTTTTTTTTTTTTTCGTTAGACACAATAATGATGAGAAGAACGAGAAAGCAGTTTCTTTTTCGTCTCCACTACCCCTCCTTCAAGCGCTGTCTCCTCCTTGCCTCTTTTATATTAAAAAGAATTTCGAATGCCAGCACTGAACGTTAAGCCAGTCAAGATTTTTCACCTACACGCTGTAATATCTGCTTGTGCGGCTGCAAACGCAAAGAACGTAGTGAAATCAGTATATCGTTCACGATAGTCATGCAGTACAAGGTAGACTGGGACAGCTATTTTAACTCCAACCAAAATGAAGTACGAGAAAATGCGTAAGAACCCCACGTTCCGGAACCGACTTGGTTCATTCCCCACGGGGGACTTTGGTGACGTTGCAGTGGCGTCTGAAGGCGTTCAAGTACAAGGTAGGACGTACATGCGACTACATGGTAAAGCAGAGCACGAAACAATTCCCACCAGATGTCTCTCGCATATTGAACAATTAAGAGCTTATTTCATCCTGATATCACTGAACAAACTGCTGAAGTTGCGAATTGTGCCGCAAGAGCGGGAAACGCCGGGCGAGAATATCAAGTGATAGCTGAGCGGCCCAGCAGGCTAGCGCGCCCAGCGAATGAATGGAGACGCCAACTTCGAAAGCGCGGTCCACTGGCATAGCGTCATCACGGAGCGAGACACTCACCCCCTCATTTAGACTCGTCAGCAAAGCGTGCGCAGTGCACGAGCGTTTACCAAGGAAGGCCTCTGCTTGATTGACAACAATTTCAACCTTGTTCAACAGGGGGCGCAGCAATGCGCTCTGCTGAAAGATGCGGGGCATCACTCAGCTATTCCTCTTGTATTCGTTTTTCGCTCCGCTGGCCCCTGCACTCCTCCGCTGGGTCCGCTGACTCACTGAGCCACTTAGCTAGTACTCACTAATAAACGGCTAGTTTTTTTATTTTCAGCGGCTATATAGTGGCCCTTTAAAGCTAGGCGTTTGATCGTCCTATTGAACCAAATAGTCCTGTAAAGGGTGCACCTTCTCAGGCTTTTAAGTGGTGGAAGAAGCCAACTTTACGCACAACTTACGATTGTGGCACGCAAATATTACAAATCTTATAAAAATGGCCAACAGTTGGCCGAATAAAAAATGAGATTACGACAGGATGCGTCGTCGTCTCGTCTTTTGTGTTCATACCAGCACTGCCCCTTTTCATTTCATTGCTAACTTAAACAAGCTCCTCCACCTTACTGTGATTGTAAAAGATTTATTTTCACGATGAGCTGCCTAGAAGAAACATGCGTAGCGATTAGATCATCGCGAGAGGTTTATATGGGTGCAAAGTAAGTGAAGTGCTATGGTCCAAGTACTTAAAGGAAAGTAGTCACCCAACGAAAATCAAGTTCGGCGAAGATGTCCTGAAGACCTAGTTATAGTCGTGACAGCCCCGCTACAAGTATACGAACGACACAGCTGAGTTAAATTTTATGAGTAACCTCAGTACTCCTCTAATTGTTACGCAACCATGGCACAAACCAGCTTAAGCAAGAAAATAAACTTCTTAAAACTCTACACCAGCTTCCCTTGCACAATTTTTCCAACTTGACTGGTTCTATGTCAAATAATCACAATGAAATGGTATTGAAGAATAGAACAAAAAGACGAAGATGGCGAAAAAAATGGACACTTTAGGCACAGTGATTGCACGAATGCTCTTACACCTAATGATAGATCCGGACACTAGGCAATGAGTCCCTGCTAAGGAAATAATATGGCATAACTTTTCTCTGACAGTGCGGTAGTACAGTGGTGATCAAAATTTTAGAGACCACGGCAGCGTGTTGCAAACAGCCCCACGGCGCCATCTCACGGCTACCAGAGAAGCTCGTGAGTGCAGACTGCGCACGCGCGTCTTTTCGTACATCTGCGAGCCTGCGCTTTCGCTGCCTTCAACTGCGCGTCGCACACGGGAACGGCAGAAAAAAATCACTAGGTGTCAGCTTCGCACTCGCCGCGAAATCTCCGAGCGATGATATCGCGACAAGTCTCAGTGCTCGGTGTGGGCCGCTTCGCCTTTGTTCAAGCTTTTCCAAGGCGGCGAAAACGCGTATGTGGCATGCTTTTCCAGGAGACATCACTGCAAGGTAATCTTATCACGCGTGGCGTTTACGTATTCGCACGTGCCGTTACGTATAGAGTTACGTATTTTTGTCACGAAATCGTCGCTTGCGCGGCAAGTGCGTGCCGTCAAAGTTCTCTGGTAGCCGTGAGAAGCCGCCGCGGTGGTGTTCCCCGTGAAGTCCCTTAATATCGAAAAAAGTAGCGACACTCTCCTTCGTGTCTTCTCCAAAGTGTCCTACCATCTTCTCGCACACGGCCACCGTGCAGGTGTAGCCGGCGCTACAGCTCGGATTGCGTCACTATCTTATCAAGAATGTCATGTCACGCTGATAACACGCGAGATGGTCGTGAGCTTTCTCGAGTGGTGACCCGAGAGGCGGGAGAGAAGGTTTTTGGGGCACGGTGGCTCGGTTAAGGTACACGGTACTTTAAAAAAAAATAAAGAAAAAAAAGTCAGGCCTGCGTGGAATGCGCACCACTGTCACCGAGAAAGCTCGAACGGCGACCTTTCAAAGCATAACGAATCACGTGTGCCACTCGTGGCTACGACGCTGTCGACTATCGATTTTTTTTTCTGACAACGCTGAAAAAGTGTATCAGGGCCCCTTAAGGACGAAATGTCCACCTCCGTAATTTCAGGCCCGTAACAATAATACAGTATGAACTGATGGTTCGGTGGGATGATGAGCCTTCATAAGAGTGATGCACACATGCAACATAAGCAACGTATGAAACGAGCATTGAAGTATGACAGCATAGTTTCTGGATTACAATTCAATAGATGAAAGCGCGTCTGTGAACAGGATGTGTGATATGATAAGAAAAAAAGTAACAAAAAGGATGCATGCACACGGATGCATGCGCATATACACACAAAAAGGATGCATGCGCATATAAACATGTAAAAAAAACTAAAACCTGGATAGGTTTTACCGCACAGACAATTCACACAAGCAAACTCAAGACCGTCAGCGCAAGAAGAGCACACGAAAAACAAAAAAAAGTAAACGACACAGCTATCTGAATTGGCTACGTTAATTGACACATACTGCTTAACCATTGTTCAGTGTTGACTACTATTACAAAGTTTCCGGCGCTTGATGCTTGTACTCATTTCGCGCGGTACAAGTGCATGCTCTCGATGCAACTCTTGCGGGTAAGCACGATACGCCACGTGTCGACACGAGACGCAGCAAAGGAATTCGTTCCCTCGGGGATTAACCGTAATCCGGAACCGGCAGCTGGGAAGGCTTCCAGGGCGAGCAGCGCGTTCGAATCGGGGTTGTGCAAACGCGAACTTTTTCCCTGGCGAATGAGGCAGACACGCACTGTCACCGTTGCGCTCGAACTTAGTTCGTTTGTCATTCAGCTTTATTGGATTGTCTGGAAATGCGAGAGGACGATCGGGTTAACCCGTATTCGCATCACCCAGCCTCTTCGCTCCCCGAAAAAGACGCTCTCGAGTTGCACAGCATTTCAACCAAAGCTTTCGGGGCGTTATAGCATAGAATGTCGCTGGGGATGGGTTAGTGTCGTGGATACGTTAGGTAGCATCGAATATCACTTGGCATTAAGGGGATGTCGAGGCCACTTGGAATGTGTTGGTGACCTTACAATTGGATTAGTTTCTCATAGTAAAACCATCCCAGCGACTAGTCTGGCCGATTTCACGCTCTCCTAAATACAACAGGCCGTTCTAACGCTGAATGAGTTTCAACGTGGAGCCCACAGTTGATGGAGCCCCAAGCGTACACTGTTGCACCGGCAAGCGTAAAATTGGTTTTGGCGATGCATGTACCAAGACCATAAATTTGTCACTGGTTGTTTTGCATGTCGAAGCTACCGTGCACTGTTGTAGCAACTTTGACTACGGGCCACATGGAGCAACTTATATTGAGCGTAACTGTACATCGCCGGCGGCGCTCAACAATCTCACGGCTTTGGTCGGAGCGTTACTTGGTTGGGATTAACATTTTCAGCGGACAGCAGCGCATTCGGCAAGCGCCCCTAAATGATGTCGAGTGATCTGCCAATGTCTCTCAATCAAAATGGTTACAATCATTGCTAACAGCCTGTTCTATAGCACATGGGACTGAATCGTGGAGAATAATAAAGCAACTACAAAAAAAAAGGCTAAGAACCACACCATGTGCAATGAAGCAAGAAATTACGGGAGTAACATTAAGAAGTCGTAGTTCTGGCAATGTAGGTCAAAGAACACAGATTGCAGGCCTCCGAAGTAAGATAAAGCAGGCAAAAACGGACCTAGGCTGACCATGCAAAGCGTATAATACTTAGTAAACATTAAAAAAAACAATAGGGATGAGCAGTGAGACTTACAAATGATCATGCAAACTATT